GAAACAGCACTTATGAGCACTATTGGAACTTATTATCTAATAATATAATTGTTATTTAATCCTGTTGTAGTGATACAAATGCTGTAGCATCAACTTCAACTGATGCTGCAAGTGTGCATCAGACAAGCAAAGCTGGCAGATTGGCCAGCCTAAATGTTTTTGTTCAGGCTGGCACTCCAGAAACACACATACTGTTACTCAGGTCTGTCTTAAGCATATGTGGTGCTGGGGTGCCCAGTCCCAGGCACGCAGGAGGGCAGAGCCGGACGGCCACCTCAGCGTCTCGCTGGCTCGGTTGCCCCTGAACTCATGGCGCAGAAGAGCCCACCGCAGCGCTCTTGTTGAGATGCGTCCAAGGGAACGGGGGCAACTGGCAGGCCCCCAGCTGTCGCAGGCCACCGGCCGGTTGCCGGTCGAACTCTGGTCCTTGGTTCTGCATCAATCTGTGACTCAGAGCTTCAGAAGCCTTTCAGAAGCTGAGCACGCAAGCCAGCAGAGAAAACAAACTCTTTGCGACAGAAGGGCGGACAGAGGCATATGTAAAACATATTTACAAGCTGTTTATTCAGCATAAATCAGGACAAAGAAAACATGTCTGCTTTCCTTCATGTCCAAGAACAAGAAGCATAAGCAAAAGCTATACACAAACGGAAGTTCCCAGCAAGCTGTGCTGTGCTGGAGTGTAAACAGGCATGTGACACACAACAATCATTCCTTTTAAGGTGGAACAGAATATTCTAACAGCTCTGACTGATGGACAGGCTCTTCCCTGGACTCAACTCTCGGGCCCGGACTCTCGGTCTGGTGCCCCCGAAAGCCCAGCGCCCAGGTGCCCCACACCCCTAGCACCTATGGGTAAGACGGTCCTGCCATTACTAATTATCTAGTAAGGAAAAGTTTAGACCCATCTACTGATTGGAGATGATACATACTTAATTTTAGAACAGGTACTGCCTCTGTGTGAAAGTAAAAGGGCAATGACTCTTCCAAGATGGTGCCCAACTCTAGCAGTTATATTACAAACAATATACATGTTTTAAAAACAATGTTGCCCAAAGGCATATCTTCTTAGTCAACAAAAAGGCCTTTAACCGCTTCATCTAAATTAACTGATTAAAGGTTGTACCCCTACACAATAATATATATATATATATTTAGCAGAATAAAACAAAGACCTTTCCTTTGGCCTGTACAGTCGTAGCTTGGATCTCAAACGCCTTTGCTCCCGAGCAAATCAGCTCCCGAATGATCAAAGCCCAGGAATGAGTGTTCTGGTTTTTGAACGATTTTCGGAAGCTGAATGTTCAGTGTGGTTTCCGCAGCTTCTGATTGACTGCAGGACCTTCCTGCAGCAAATCAGAAGCTGCGCTTTGGTTTCCAAATGTTTTGGAAGTTGAACGGACTTCTGGAATGGATTCCGTTTGACCTCCAAGGTATGACTGTATATATCCTTCTATTGTTGAACTATAGAACTAGGGTTTTCACTTACATATTAGCAAAAAGGTGGGAATGCATCACCAAAACAAGAGGTCGAAATTGATTTACACAAAATGTGCACCTGCTGACTTTGATGCAGATTTTGAAAAACTATTGCGATTTAAATGGTAATATAATCCATCTCATCACAGTGGGACAAACTATGACCAGTCTGCCTCCTTATTCTGCTGCCTTGGTGCTAAGTATTAATGGGCAGTTATAAGATCTCTACTTTTCCTCCTGGACTTAGGCTAGACAACTCTTCATATAGAGGGCCATCCTCTGTAAAGTAGGACACATGGACTCCCAATAAACATTTTCACAAATACTTCAAACATAAGAGATTGGAAACCTCCAACTATGTTAGAAAGTCGATTTCGGCTTGGCAGGTAGAGGATGGTAAATTTTTATTCATGTAACTAGACACTTATTGACCCATGTGTGTCATTGGGAAAGTGCTCACATTTGTTATCCAGTCGAGGAAGGGAAAACATACTGTGGTATTTAGTTAACCAACAACAGACAGTGAATCACTGATTTGGACTATTGAACGGTTCACTGAGAGATCTCCAATGACATGTAAACAACCAGGAGGCCTACCCATCTTATTGAAAAGCTGGGTTTGTTTTCTCCAATTAAAAAAGAAGAAAGGAAATGATTGGAGGGAAATGTCTTGGTTTCTTTCAAGCTTTCTCTCAAGAAAGGAGGCAGGGTTATTCTTTGAACAAAATCCTTGTGCATAGCAGTTCAGCCAGCTATGCAGTTGTGAAATTGCTTTTAAATTAGAAATGGTGTACAATCTGAGTTTACCAACCTGGGTTGTCAGTTGTCCCATATTTGAGACGTGCTTTCAGAAAAGCCCTCTTCAGGTCTTTAGCATGAAGGCAAGGAGGGGCAAGTGGGAACACAAAGCGTGAGCCTATCCCTTCAAAGATGGTGTCATGGTCCGGTCTACGGGCGATCGATCAAGGCAGGAAATGTGTTGCTGTGGCAAAGAGCTGAAGGGAAATGCTGACCTTATATCCCTTCCTGGCTCTTGCCACCAGGTGCAGTGAGTTACCAAGCGGCATCACCTGTGTGGCTGCGCCTTGCCTCTCCAGTACAAACTTAGGAAGGCCCCGGTCCTGCAAAGCCCTACTGGTCACAGGGCCTGGCTCCTGCACATACTCCTGACAGATGGTGTCCATTCTAAGCACACTCCCTGACAATGCATGGTTGGCATAAAGCAAATAAGAAGAGCACTGCTCTATCAGGGCAATGACCCACCTAGTCCAGCATCCTGTTCTCACAGAGCACAAGATTTGCTTTGTGTATTTAATAATAATAATAATAATAATAATAATAATAATAATAATAATAATAAATAATTAATAAATATCCTGCCTTTTCCCCAGAACTGAATGCACATTTCTGTAAATAACAAGGCAGTATATTTTGTTGTTGTTGTTGTTGTTGTTGTTGTTGTTGTTGTTGTTGTTGTTGTTGTTATATAATACGCATAGCAAAGGACCGCTATCCCTTTAAAGTTGAACTTCTCTGAATTTTGTAATGTAGTTCTCCAGTCAAATAATGTGAAGAAAATGCATATACTAGGGTAAAGGTGCGCATACAAATGCATATATGAGAGTCACCCTTCCCTAATTCAAGCAATGTCAATTTGCAAGGTGACTTATCATAAATTAAAGCTAGAAGTTAAAAATGAACTTGTTTCTTTCTTTTATTATCACATCTGTATCCTAGTGTTTCCCCATGAAGCTCAAAGGTATATTCATGCTTCTCCCTATTTTATTCTCGCAACAACCCTGTGAGGTAGGTTAGGCTGAGAAACTGTGACTGGCCGAAGGTCACCAAGAGAGTTTCATGACGGGGCGAGGATTTGAATCCTGGTCTCCCAGTTCCTAGTCCAACTACATCACACTGTACTTAAATTGTGTGTGTGTTAACTTAAACTGAGCTTGGTTTATATCAGTTTCTTGCCTTTGTTGGTCTTACTTGGATTCCATGTGCATAACCAAGGCATCCTTTTTGGGAGCAAACATCACTGAACATAGGGGGAATACTTAGTAAATAAAATGGAGGCTGCACCTGTAGAATTTAGCACTTTGTTTATCCTGGGAATCCTATTAAACAAACACCGAAATCCAAATACTCTATGTAAACATTGTATTTTGTAATCATGCTAATAGGTGTCGATAATTAGTGCTGATTTACATGCAAATGCAATGTACAAAGATGCAGTTGGATGTTCTTAGGGGGGAAAGAGCTAAAATTAGACTGTAATCATTCCTCTTGGTGAATGGGAGATATTCCTGTAAGGTGCCACAAATTACCATTTTGAATAAATAAATGAGGCCCCGCAACAAAATATTGTTGGAGGGGGGGCACCTGTCTACAGTGGGAAAGCCCACTTCTTCCTAGAAAAGAGGGCACTTGGAAGGCATAGATCAACATTTGCCTGTTGGCAAAGTCTTTTTCAGAGATGTGACTAAGTACTTGGCGAACAAGTAAAGGTAAAGGTAAAGGGACCCCTGACCATCAGGTCCAGTCGTGGCCGCCTCTGGGGTTGCGGCGCTCATCTCGCTTTATTGGCTGAGGGAGCTGGCGTACAGCTTCCGGGTCATGTGGCCGGCATGACTAAGCCGTTTCTGGAGAACCAGAGCAGCGCACGGAAACGCTGTTTACAATCCCGCCGGAGCGGTACCTATTTATCTACTTTCACTTTGACGTGCTTTCGAACTGCTAGGTTGGCAGGAGCAGGGACCGAGCAATGGGAGCTCACCCCATTGCGGGGATTCGAACCGCCGACTTTCTGATCGGCAAGCCCTAGGCTCTGTGGTTTAACCCATAGCGCCACCCACGTCCCTTGGCGAACAAGTACTTAGGCTCAATTGCTAGCAGTGGAAAGCTCAATCTTGATCTATGGCAAGGTGCCAAAGACCCAAAACATTGACAAGAGATGTCTGGGGACACCACTTGATTGACCGGGGGGAAACATCTTGGGCCAAATTGGAACTCCAAATGGACAATGTTTGGCCCACAGGCCAAACATTAGAGTCTTTAGAGTCACAGAGCTGACCTGACTCCATCTGAGAAGAGATTTGAAGGCGCAGAGCAGGCCAGCTGATGAGATATGTGCTTTCAGAGGCACCCTTCCTCAGCTGGAAGAACTTAGAAGGGTGTAACCATGTGTATGGGAGGTGGGGGAAAGGAGATGAGGTTGGGACAGGCTGGCTGGACACTGGTTTGACAGCTTCAGTGTGCATGCTCACATGCACTGTATAAACTCTGTAGTTCATGTATTTTGGGGGCAGTAGGGATAGTTTTTGGACCCTCTTTTCTTTTTTTGAGAAAAGGTGCTTCTGCAGACCTTAAAGTTCCCAGGTGCTGCTGACACCTCCTTCCTGTGCATGGGTGCGGCCATTTTGGCTACAGAAACAACAGCATTCACCCCTGTAAAAATGGGAAATGAAAGGAATTATTACAGTGGTTTGTCAACAGCAGGACCGATCATTTATTCAGTTTCATGTATACTTACTTATTCTTTGTCAACGAGGGCACATTGCAATATACAGAAATGAAATGCACATGAAACAATTGGAAAAATGTATATAGAATGCTGACAATGGCAAGGCTCTTGTGCCTTATTCCCTGGCCTGTTCATTTTAATTGACACGTCTCTCATTTCTCTTGCTTGAAACAGAAGCCATGTTGCAGCGTCATGTATCAGGATGGTTAGGCAGGTGCCAGTAAGTTCATTTAACGCTAAGTTCTGGTGGGATATGATGGGGTGGCAGCAGTCATATGACAATTGCAAGCAGCGAACCATTAAAAAATGTTCCACCTCTGAACTTATTGGTGACAAAGGTTTTTATTGTTTCTAAGAGCTCAAATTGTACAATTGTATGATCACTTTGGAAAGCACTGTGCAAAATGGCACTTTGAAATAGGTTTCTGAGGACCTTGGAAGCTCCTTTCAAAGCGCTACATTATAGAGCACTTTGCATCGGGCTTTGCAGGCACTGATTGGTGGTGCCTGCAAACCCCCTTTTGTCTGAAGCAGGGTTCTACCTGCTCCACTCCTCATGCCTTATATGGTGTCAGGTGTAGGTTAGGTGGGTGTGGCTCGGCTGAAAGTGCCCTGTTGGCTAAGTGGGGGGGATGCCTGGCAAGCCTCAAGAGGCCTGAGGGCTAGAGGTTCCTCAGTGGAATGAAAACAGCATTTGTTTTGCCCCTGTTAATTTGGTTGCAGAATCCACCGAAACAAAGGCAAGAGGAACATTTGAAAAGGGGACTTTTGCTTATCCAGTCTTCAAGGCTCAACTTAGTGCAGCAGAGTTTGCTGAAACAAGGATCATCTCTTGGTGATGCAGAATGATCGCTGCAAGGGGTCCAGCAATCTGCTCTAAAGAGAATGGTGAGAAAGACACAATTACTGGGCAAACTGTTACCAGGCCAGCATATAAGAATAAAACAAAAGACTTCTTGGCCAGCTTTCAATGCTTAGTTCCCCACCCCCACTCAGTAATAGAATTTGCTGAAAACCTTAATGGCAAGTTTGTCTGCATGGATTTCTAATTCCTGTCTTGCTCCTTTCAGCTGATGAGAAGTGAGATTTCCCCGCTAGGTTCTGCTAAAAATACCCCAAAATGCATATTATATTCTTTATTATATGTACTGTTATACATATAATATTATGCTCTGTGACATAAACTCAGAGCATGGGATGCAGTTGCATAATGTGTTCTCAGGTTCTAGACTATTGCTGTTTTGGAGTGGGATGCAACCACATACCAGGAAATTATAATTGCACAATTATAGCTGATGGGGTGGTCTTGTGCAACAAACCTGCTTCCTCAAACGACTGGACTTTTTGTGATAACGGATGTGGTGGTAAAATGTCCTGGAGAGTGTAGGATGGCAGTTGCTCTGATGCAAAGCCATCTCACCTCCATGCAAACAAAATAGAACGAATGTTTATTCAGGCGAGAATGTTGCTTAATCTCCCGGCACACAAATCAGAATGAAGGCAGAATAAATAGGTCCTCTGGAAGCACCCTTAAACTGTTGCTGATTCTCTGGGTTAGAATTAGAAACACAGATAAATATGGGGGTGCAAAATATCTAGACCTTTAAATATAAGGCTGTCAACTAACAGCTCAAAATCTGTAGGAAAGAAGCACCCAGCATAAACATCTAAAATGCACCCAGCATACAACTTCTATATTTTCTCCCTTGCGCGGTCAAATCTAATAACTTATATCTCTCGGGATGTTTACCTGATGGAATAATGAATGTAGAAAAGAAATAATTAGAAAATGAGACACAGGTAGCAGGACTAATAATTTCAAACAACACCCCTTTGATGCAATGTACAGTGGCAGGGAGGAGAAAGCTATTTTAAAAAGGAAGAAGAATTCCTGCAGAATGGAATAATGAGATACCCCAAGTAAGAAGGTCATCCTCATTAAGAAGACCATGGGAAAATTTTTGCTGGAGGGGAAGACAATGGTAGCTAAGATATGTAAGGCACAGCTTTTAAATGACAGCTAATGCACCCTGCACCGATCAGATAGTTAATTAATGTTTCAGCCGTTCTCAGAATTCCAAACCTTTGAAATTCTGGAAGACAATACAGTTTAACCCATTGGTGGGCTGAAAATACAGCCATGTAAAAGGACACGGACACCCACACATGCACTATAGTGCAGCTAGTACAGTGGTACCTCAGGTTACAGACGCTTCAGGTTACAGATGTTTCAGGTTACAGACTCCGCTAACCCAGAAATATTACCTCGGGTTAAGAACTTTGCTTCAGGATGAGAACAGAAATCACGCAGCAACGGCGCGGCGGCAGCTGGAGGCCCCATTAGCTAAAGTGGTGCTTCAGGTTAAGAACAGTTTCAGGTTAAAAACGGACCTCCAGAACGAATTAAGTTCTTAACCCGAGGTACCACTGTAATTAATACGGAAGCCTATTTTCCTTTATTGAATCAGGTTACAGTATACTGGCTCATATATGTTTCACAGCATATGCTGGTAGTTATATTACCTTAATACCACCACCAAGCAAATTTCCTTTCAGTAGCAGAACTGAGCCCACATTCCTTTTTCACACAAAAATCCACCTCTGGGTTTACCCCGGGCATTCTTTACGTAAGAAAATAAGAAGAGCCCATCTGCTGGATTAGTCCAATGGCTTGTCTAGTCCAGCCTCCTGTTCTCACAGTGGACAACCAGATGCCATGGGAAGCCCCAAGGCAGGAACTGCCTGCAACAGCACCCGCCCCACTTGTCACCCCCAGCAAATAACATCCACAGGCTTACTGCCTCTAGTAGTGGAGGGAGAACTTAGCTTTCTTTGTTTCAGCCACCAAATTAGGGAAGAGGAACCTTTTTATTGCTAAATAATTTGGAGCCAGAGAACCATGTTCTCTTTCTCATTTTGTCTATATGTTTTGCTTATCTTACTGAACCCTGTTTTGATAACTTCTGGCTGAGACGTGGCTTAGAAGTCTGAAATACAAAGTAAAATAATAAAAGAAGTCTACTGAAAATCGCTCTGATCTTCTGCCTGCCCCTGCCTTAAACATTTCAAATATCCAGCAAGCGTTAAATAAAAGAAAGAAGCTGGTTTATTAATGAAAACGAACCAAAGAAGCATAGGGAGTTAAGCGATGTCCGTTTGCAAAGTGTGTTGTGTATATGCCATTACCTCTGTTATCAGGAGACGCCTGATCTTTCCCTGGTGGGTTTCAAAGCAGAGTCTGAAATAACACATGCTGTTCATGAACACTGTTAAGGATCTGGAAGTGGTAGCTATTGACATAATATTTTTTTTAAATAAAAATTTAAAACCAAAGAAGCATCTGGCAGTGATTACATATGCCTTGTTACCTTACATATGACTTGTTACTGTTGGATTTCCTATGTGGGTCTGCCTTTGAAAAGCTTACAGAAGTGGTCCAGAATGGGACTGCCAAGCAACATGGAACACACCTCTCCAATTTTGGGAGCATGGGGGTGTGGGTAAAAAAGCTGGGGGACAAAACCCACCACCAAATTTCAGGGGCAGGGGCAAAATTTTGAGGAGGATAAAGCTTACTGCTACTACTTGAGTATCTCTAAATGACTGTTGGATGGAAGGTGCCTATCCTCCTTTCTCCGTAATGATGCTATGACATTAAATATAATTGCTTTAGAAGAGCGGGGTGGGGATCTGGACAAGGAAAGCACAAGAGGGGAGTGCTTTCTTCATGTCATCATAGGATTTAAGTGTGGCCATTTTGCAATACCCCTTCATGGATCACTGCCTTGTCATGGTGAAGGGGCTTGAATAACCCCAAGAAGCTATGAGCTATGCTGTGCAGGGCCACCCAAGACAGACAGGCCATAGCCAAGAGTTTAGACTAAATGTGATTCACCTGGAGAAGGAACTGGCAACCCACTCCAGTATTTTGCCAAGAAAACTCCATGGACATAAAAAAAGGAGAAGCTTTGAGAAGAAAGTGAGAGTTTCCAAGGCATGCTCTGGTTCATGGGGTCAAGGAGAGTCGAACATGACTAAGACGACTAAACAACAAATTCTGCAATAAATGCTCATATGGAATAGGCCATTGGAGGTATACAGTAAATGGTATGTGGGGGCACAGAATGATGTTTTGAGGTCTGACATCAGGATGGCATTTATTTCCAGCAGTTCCTAATTGACTGTAAGACATTCATTCTAACATATTATCATTTAATGATCGATATGGGGAAACATATGCTTCAGAATCAGCACTTCTGAAATTTAACTTCAGAAATAAAACAAACAATTTTGGGGAAATCTTGATACATACCTGCTTTGGAAACGGATGGGTGTACACAATGCCTTCAGCACTAAGACTTGCTTTTCGTCTCGCCACGGGAACTATCAAAATAAGAAAAGGATTGCAACTTTTACCGTCAAGCTGGTTTGGAGCTGTTTGGTACTGATATATTTGTCTTACAGCAGGCAATCCAATTAAGATAAGAGCCTAGCATACACAAGGTTTAAAGCCTTACATAATATGGACCTTGTCTACTTGAAGGAAGGCTTCCTCCCATATATCTTTTCCTATGAAAAGAGATCTCCTGAAAGTGCCCTTTTCTGAGCACCCCTGCTGTCAAAAGAACAGCCCCAAGGGCTACCTTAGTTGTGGTACCCTAGTTGTTGAGCTCTTTGGCATGGAAGGGACACCTGAATACCAGCTTTGTTAGAGGGTGGTTCAGGGGGACATTTGCATTAGACCCCAGACCTGCTGCCTGTTCTCCTCCCCTTTTTATTTTTAATTAACAAATGACACCATATCATTCCAAGAGTGCATTGCTGGAAGGAAGAGCTCAATTAATTTGCAATGATGGGTAAACAAATGAGAGAAAGAGAAGGAAGAAGATGTCCCATGGCCTTTCCTGGTATGCCCCCACATCTTGAAGTTCACTAAGGTTATGTACCACACTTAAAACTGACCAGTCCTTTTTTAAGGGCCGGGGGGGGGGCATTATCAAACTTTACCCATCTCAAATTTTGCAAAATGGAGGTGGGTGGAAAATATTTGGCTCAGCACTAAAAACAAACAAACAAACAAACAAACAAGCAAGCAAGCAAGCAAACTGCTTTCTTGTGATGGTAGTCACTAGAACAGTGAGTATCAGCACCACCTTTTTTTTTTTAAACCAAAAAAATACTATTCAGTAGATGCCTATTCAGGAGGCACCTTGTAGACTGGCTGTAGGCATGATTTATGAGGTAAAGGTATTGGAACTTACCATCTGGATGGTGAATAATGGTGATTTTGTCTGTTAGGAAGAAAAATAAGCCAAAATGTGGTTACAACAACTGGTCATGTGGGGTTTTTTTTAGTCCAGTCTTTCCCCAAGTGCCATTTGATCTGCATTCATTGAATTGTGAGCATAGATCTACCTCAGAATTTCATATTTTTTTCCATTATTCCAGGGATGAGGAGCCTGCAGTCCTTCAGCTCCTGTCGCCCCTGATCATTAGCCCTGCCGGATGGGGATGATGGGAATTGGTGTCCAATGATACTTGGAGGGCTCTGCATCCCTGCACTGTGGTCTTATCTACACTAGTGTGGCCCTGAAAGTGGAAGTTGGCGTATCAGGATCGGGCCATTTTGGTTTCTCTCACTTTCTCCTTTTTTCTAATTTTAAATCAAGTTCTCCACACTTCTACATCAGTTTGAAAATTTGTTGTTGTTTTTTAAAGTCCTCATGAACATTTATCAGCATCTTTGTGTGAATTCTAATATGTACATTTTTTTTATGCAGTTCCCCCCAATTTGAACACTTTTGCAAAGCAGTTTCCTGTAATGTAATGCTTTTTGGTACATTATGTTCACTAATACGTACACTTATATGCATGCTTTGCACTAGTATATGCGTTTTTGTACACATTGCTTGGCTGGAGAACCGCACTGCAAAATTTGGAGAAGTGTGGCTTTCAAAGTGTGGCTGTGTTTTGGTTCTCATATTCTTTCAGAAAGTGTGAACTAGTTAAGTTCACCTTGAAATGGAAACAAAGTTAAACTCTCCCCCATACCTAGTGGCAGGCCAGGTAAGAGAAAAGTCCCACAGGCATACAAATGCCCTTCCAATAAAAAAACAACAACCACTTTTCATGCTGAAAATGCAGAGTGTATTCTTTCACAGTCTCTTACCAACCCCGGACTAAAGAAGGCGAGGGATACAGAGTACTGTGAAACACCTCTAAAGTGATCACTGCTATTCCTTCCCCTGTCTGGGAGCGACCATAGAAAGCTGCCCTCCAGCCCTCTCCATGTTTCTGCCAACCTTTTTGTAGTGCTTGGTTTTTGTTGATGAGTTGTGGCAACTAAGACCCAAACTGGAATAGTTCAGGGCAGGGATTGTTCGGCCCCTGACAACTCTCTATAACTTGTTAGGGAGGCCTGATTCAAACTTTGAGCATCCCTGGTATAAACAGAGGATTTCCTGGTCCAAAAATACTGAATTGCTGTTCAAAACACGTTTCTTGACTCCATTGCCTATAAGTTTGGCATTCCACACAGCTGCTCATAATTACTATTATGAATCATTTTGTGTTCTTCTATGGGAAGGCAGGTCTCCGTATTTGACAAATCGTCACAAAACTGTGGAGAAGCCTATCAAAGCCATTCCATGGGCTTCACTAGTCTTTGGTTCAGGCCTTGAAAAAATATATATATACAGTTCCCTTCTGCAGCTTATTGAAATGCTAGTTAAATGTAATTTACCATACGTGCTTTCCTCCTCCGGTCTTTTTCTGATAATAGAGTCTCTGAGCTGGCGTATTTTTTCCTTAAGTAAGAAACAAACACACAAACAACAACAAAAATCAATAGCTGCAGTTGATTGTTAAAAATAATGAATGAGTAGCTGGAGGAGTTGGGCTTTTTAGTATTCTGCACACTTAAGCTTCCTAGCATAGGAAATCATTTTAAAAGACATTGGGGGCGGGGGGCGGAATCTCTCTCTCTCTGTGTTTTAAAAGAGAATTTTGGTAGAGTTAGGATACATAAAGATCTCTGGAAAGTTTTCTCTAAGAGCAAATGCAATATCTCCGCAGCTGCCACCCACTCCCTCAAGTGGCAATAATTGCCATCCATATGGGCAGCTACCTTGAATTTTATGGCCAAAATAAGAAAGAAGTATTTGTAACCACCCAAGAAGCAATGAGTTATTAGGAAGAACCTGTTCAGCTTTGTTCTGTCAACTTTAGTTTTGCTGCCCAATCACTCCAGTTGTCTCAGAGAAGGACAAGTCAAGTCTTCTCATAATGGTTTGGATGTCATGCTAAACCATGGCTTGAATTTGGCTTGTTTCCAACCAGAGTTAACATTAACCATAGTTTGTCTGTTTGGACAATGATGGAAAATGAATTGCAACTATGTGAAGTCTCAGTGTTTTCAGAGCTCCTTAAATCTAGCTAATCTCTATGAACACTCAAATGCAAATGGTGAGGTGGGCTCCAGAAAGAAACTTCTGCAATATTACATATATTACAAATAAACTAAGAGAGTCAATGCAGGTGGTGCAGCAATTGTGGCCAAACCCACACCCACACTCATTAAGAACATTGCAAAATCCCACATATAAATCCAATCCAGATGTTGCACGTTTGGTCTAATCAACTATGCTTTAACAGATAGGGAATGAGCCCTGTGCCCATGTACTCTTGTCTCTCTCCTCCCTTTCATCTTTTAAGGACCTAGCTTTGGTGAAAATATGTTTGTTCCTTAAACCAACTTTCCCATAACATTCAGTCAAGGACACTGTAATCCATGGAGACTTATTTGAGGGATTTCCCTTGTCACTTCCTGTTTGGCATTACCATCACTAGTATGATCACTCTGAAAATCAGCCCCAATATATTCTCCTAATATACACACTTTTGCATGCAATTTTCCATAGTGTCATGCATTTTTAATGATATTTGCACCAATGTACGCATTTTATGCAACATTTTGCATGGTAGACATATTTTTGTACACATTACTGGGTCGCAGAACGACACTGCAAAATTTGGATAACTGCAAAATTTGAAGGATGGTTGAATTTCTGCCTGTACATTGTTTGAAAAGTGTGAATTAGCTAGCTTTGCCTTTGAATATGAATTGAGTCAAATTTCTCCTCCACCCTATGAGAAACACATGTGGATGTGGTCATTAAAAATGCATGCATGTCATGAAAGTCCTAATATTTGATTTGTATCCTGGCTATATGTAGAACTATTCACAAGAGTGGGGCAGGTCAGTGGCAGAATTGCCTGCTTTGCCTGCAGATGATCCCAGGTTCAGTTCATGGTATCTCCAGTTAAAAAGATCAGGTGGCAAGGGATGGAAAGGCCTCTGTCAGGTTTCAGGGAAGCAGCTTCCTCCCTCCCTTTGGCCGTGGATGAGCAGAACAAAGCGAAGAGAATCTCTTACCATTTAAAGATATTTTAGTTATCACAGCGAAAGAACAAAGAGTCCATTCTCAAAGTAAAGGTGCTCCCAATTAAGATTTCCACCTACTTCCCCCCTCGTCACCCTCGTCACTTGTCTTGCAACCTGATCTTGCAACCACTGTGCCTTCTGTGTAGCTACCTTATCTAATCTCTTTGACCTTGGACTGAGCGGCTGGACACTTTCCAATGAACCAGAGTCTGCTAACTCTCTTTTTCTCAGTTCTTCTTCCCCTAGCTGTTCCCCACTCAACTCTGCCCAGCTTTTGTCTTCTAAACTATTTTCCTCTGCAAACCACTGCTCCAAATCTATACTGCTCTGCTGCTCCTGGGCAGCTTCAGGATCCTGGTCAGGGGGAGGTTCCCACCATTCCTCATCAGAGCAACACTCCTCAGCCTGGTCTCTGACACTGCCTGAGATCCTGGAGGGATGCTGACAGTCAGAGAAGATAATACTGGACCTCATGGACAAAGCGACTGACTTGGCACGAGGAAGCTCCCTATGTGTCTAACACTGGTACATCCAACTCAGGTTTAAAAGCACACAACACAGGAGAAGAAAAATGTGAAACCCACTAAAACAGCAGAGATATTTTGATGAACATAGCAACTAGCTTGTAACCACCACACAAAATACATGAGGCTTCTACCTGCTGGGTAGCTTCTAATCCACTTCTGTGATTCTGCCATTCTTTAAATTTCTCCAGAGCTTCATCCACAGAAAGTATCCCCTTCTTCACCTGCTCCTGCAGTAGGATGAGCTCTTCTTGCCTCAGTGGGATGCTTGGCTTGACGGTGCTGTATGTGGTCCTGTCACCTTGAGCTTTATCTTCAGGGAGCAAATGCAAACATTCAGGACAGAAGCAAAACCCCTTTTTGAGCTGCATATATGATAGAAATCTAGATTTCTGAAGCAGAGAAAATGGACAGTCTAAGTGCAATTACTAGATACCTTTTCAGTGTGGTGTAGTGGTGAAATGATATAATGGTTAGCATATCAGACTAGGGGTGGGGAGACACAGGTTAGTTGCCTGGGCTAATTTCACTATATTTCAGCCACACAGGGTTGTTGAGAGGGTGCAAATGGAAGGGGTGACCCACCTTTAGCCCCCTGGAAGAAAGGCAAGATATAAAGGAAATAAATACATAAACCCAAACGGTAAAGGTCTCAATGATGGGGGGAAGATGTTGCTTCACCCTGACTCCTTAGAGACACCAGAACATTTAGCTTATTTTCCTTGGTCAGCCTTTATATGTATTATCAGAGCTTTGCCACAACTCCCATTAAGAGAGGGATAGGGAACCTGTCATTTTCCAGATGATGGTGGACTCCAGCTCCCATTAGCCCCAGCATGGTCAATGGTGAGGAATGATGGGAGTTGTTGACATACAAAATTTGGATAACTGCGTATCTCCCATCCCTGTACCAAGAGATGAGTAACAGGTAGAGCTTTCCCTAAGACCTTGTTTCTCCCTTACCTGCTAGGTCTATCAGATTTGAATCTGGATCCCAGCTGGAATATCAATAACTTTTAAGCTCCAGGATTAAATTCTATGTTGATAAATGAAACAAATGCTGCCAGGGATTCAAATACCTAGCTGCGATGAGGGTTTCATCCTGGTACACAAAGCATTCACATTCATGGCCATTTGCCTGATTAATTCACTCTCTGTTGAATTTAGTTGTCGTTGGAGTTCCCTTTGTGAGACAGCACTGTACCATTAACTAATTATGAAACTCAAGAAAGGAATCACTGACACATTGCATTAAGGCCAGGCACTTTGGTTCATAAGCAAAGACAGGAAATCTAGCACTACCAAGATAGCTTTCCACAGCAACCAGTGTGCACACCACACTTTCCTAAAGACAAACTCTGTGTCATACTGAATTATCTCTATACTAGAGTTGTACACCATTGTTGTTGTTGTTTAGTCGTTTAGTCGTGTCTGACTCTTCGTGACCCCATGGACCAGAGCATGCCAGGCACTCCTGTCTTCCACTGCCTCCTGCAGTTTGGTCAAACTCATGCTGGTAGCTTCAAGAACACTGTCCTATGCAATATTTTTCTTTACAGCATTGGACTGTATACAGCTTAAAGCAGCTCGATATCCACTTGAGTGCTGGAAAGGTAAAATAGGTTGGCCAGGAAGCTCACTTGCATTACAGTTGCCTGGCCTTCACTGTATTCCGCATAGATGAAGATCAGACATTCAGTTTGCAATCATATGCACGCTTACCGAGGTGTAAACTGCATTGCACACAGTGGAACTTACTTTGGAGGAAAAATCTATGGGGTTGTGCTGCCTGGCAACTGAAGGCTGATGTGCCAAAACTCCCCATGGATGTGATCTCGAAACACGTCAGAAGTGCTGGTTCAATTAATAGCACGATGGCCAATTAATGATTAGATAGGAACCCCGTAGTAGTAAGCTGGTGATGATGAGCTCTGACTAATTTTCTGTAGAAGAACATGGTACCTCCTCCGTCGTGTTAATGTTTCCTTCTTGTGTGAGGGCTCTTTTGTGGTCCCTCAACCAACAATATATTGATCCTCATTTTATTGTCTTGTACCAATGAAAAGCTTTAAAAGATCAACATTATGATTTGCAGTTTTTATTGTACCCGGTGGGCTACATGTAGCATGGTAGCATGGAGAAGCTGGCCAGCCTATTAAAAATGCATTTATTTCAGCAGGTGATTGATGCTTAGAAATTATTTGAACTTGTAGAGCAGTAACCTTGGACATCGGTGCACCAGCAGCGTCAATAATACCGATATTTAATCATCTCCTAGGAAAATGTTATAATGCCGCTTGAAGGTTACAGTAAACTCACTGCTCATAAAAATGGAACAAACAGTCAGGAATTCTCTTTTCATTGATTAAATGGCAATGAACACAGTGGTGTCCTAAACAAGGCACAAGATAATATGCTGACCGCCAACTCTACATATTTGCTCACAAGAAAGTCCCAGTGGTCTGAAATGGAGCTTTTCCCTTGCTAATTGTGCATAGCTCTGTATCCTTAAATTGTTGTCCTGTCCCAGTAAGGACCCCTGACCATTAGGTCTAGTCGTGGCCGACTCTGGGGTTGTGGTGCTCATCTCACTTTATTGGCCGAGGGAGCCGGCGTACAGCTTCCGGGTCATGTGGCCAGCATGACTAAGCTGCTTTTGGCAAACCAGAGCAGTGCACGGAAACGCCATTTACCTTCCTGCTGAAGCAGTACCTATTTATCTACTGGCACTTTGACGTGCTTTCGAACTGCTAGGTTGGCAGGAGCAGGGGCTGAGCAAACGGGAGCTCACCCCGTTGCGGGGATTCGAACCACCGACCTTCTGATCAGCAAGTCCTAGGCTCTGTAGTTTAACCCACAGCACCACCCGCGTCCCTGTCCCAGTAAAGGAAGTTAAAAAAACTAAACTGCATCCGCTTGGAAACTTATGATTCTCTGGCTTGGAGGTCAGTAGAGTTGCACAGCACAGCTCCTGACTGAGAACTATACTTCTAGAAGTGGGAGGCTCCCTTTTCTAATGCCTTGCAAGTAAAAAAGTAGTAGATCAAGCATAGCTTTTCTTTCCAACAGTGTTATTTCTGGTGGGGAGCACTAAAACAAGCCCTGAAATGGGATGTTCCAAGGAAAAGGAGGTGATGGGACTGAGCCAGTCTGGGATCTGCTGGATCCTGCACCAGTCTTACTGTCATCAGATGATGGTGTCAGGCTTGATCTGGACTGATCTCTGTACCAGTTATTCTGCCCTTCCCTTCCACTGTTACTCCTCTGAGTGGCTGGGCTGTGGCTATGGCATTGGTCCTGTCCCTCGAGAAAGCCCTGCCAGCTGGTTGGATTGTGCCCTAAGTCTCAATCTAGCTCTGTAACTGTCACATTTGCCCTGTGATTGCTACCATTGGCAGTGCAGCCTGGCAAAGAACAGTAAGAAATGAGAAAGGACTGTAGAAGAATAGATGCATTTAACATCCAGTCCTAGACTGACAATGTAAACTTACCCTGCCACAAGTTGTGTCAGGGAACCAGCAAACGGGAGTTTTTTTGCAGATTGTTGCATTGGGTTATTATACTGCCATGAACAGCCTCTCTGGACCATATATATACATAGATATATAAATCAACAAAATCACCATACCTGGTTTTCTGGCAGCGCACAGCAACTTCTCATTACCAGCATGAGTTCTGGTTGCCTTCTGCTGAAAAACTACACGAAAAGGAAATTAGGAAATGAAAGATGGCAGCAGAATAAGTATGGTGATTACTTTTGAGAACTCCAGTGCCTCACAAGAGCATCCAAGGACCTTGAAAAGAGATTATAAGGAAATAGCATGAGCTCTCACAGTGCCGATGAGCATCATTTTGGAATACTTCTGGGTAGAGGCAAATTAAGAAGTGCAGTATCCCTTCATGATGCTCACAGCCACACCCCCTCAAAGTCACACCTTCTACTAAGATTATACAAGCGTCTTAGATTATACAATAATCTTATAATCATTCATTAATAATAATAATTAGGGATGCATTGTAATGCAGATCTCTCTGTGTTGCCTTTCAGATAGATCTATTTTTTGTGCAAATGATTTGGAGTGTATCAATATCTTTTTTTCAGAGCAGCTTAAGTCGCCTTTTCCTTGAAGTTTCTTTGTTCATAACAAACCTTGAACGCCATTCTCTTCAAACTGAAGCATCTCCCTGCAGCCTTGCTCTCCCCTTCTTGGTCCAGCTCTCCACTGCCCCAGACCACACTTGGCCACACATGGCAGGAAGCTTGGTTGTGTCAACAAATAGAGAGGACATATCCGTCAATCTGCTGATTTATCTTAGTTTCTCATTTCTCAAATCTGAAGTTCAGTTCTCCACATTTTCTCAACAGGATGTGATTTTTTTTACACATATAAGTCCTCATGATAATCCATCAGCATTCTAGCTCCCACAAGACACCCATTTCTGTATGCAGTGGTTTAGTGGTCAGAGTGCTGGACTAAGACCAGGCGTCAAATTCCCACTCAGGTCTCTGGGTGACCTTGGTCCAGTCACTGTCTCTCTCAGCCTAAACGACCTCACAGGGCTGTTGTGAGGATAAAATGGGAAGAGGGGGAATTGTAGGCACTTCTTGAATGAGGTAGAAATGTCATAATAAACAATAAATAAAAATAAACAGGCACATCTTTGCAAGTTGTCAGGCACTGGGCAGAAGAGGAATGGGAGAGGGAAATAATGGGAGAGGAGAAAGAGGAAGCACCAGGATGGTGACAGGTGACGGACACAGTGTCTTTAGAAAGCATTCCAGAACTCCCCTCTCCCAGAACACAGCAAGCCTTGAAAGTAGGACAGCAAAGAGCTCAGAAGCAGAGGCCCTCAGCGCCACCCGTAGGGGAGATGAAGACAATGACAAAAGAGGAAGTGGGAGAAAAGGGGGGTGAAGAGTCACTCAGGACAGCATCACTATCCCAAGAAGCTGTGTTCCAAGCCTATCTCTAAATATTGAATAAAAAGCAGATGGTAAGAACTTGTCTTGTATGTTCCTGGCAACTGGCTGTGGAAGTTGCTTACTGCCGCCTGACACAAGAATTCTCCGCCAATATAATGTTTATTGTATGTCATTTTCATCAATATATACATTTGTATGCATACTCTCAGGGGTCAGCAAACTTTTTCAGCAGGGGGCTGATCCTCTGTCGCTCAAACCTTGTGGGAGGCCAGACTATATTTTGGAAAAATAAAATAAAAAATGAACAAACTCCTATGCCCCACAAATAAGCCAGAGATGCATTTTAAATAAAAGCACACATTCTACTCATGTAAAAAAACCAGGCAGGCCCCACAAATAACCCAGAGATGCATTTTAAATAAAAGGACACATTCTGCTCATGCAAAAACACACGGATTCCCGGACCATCCACAGACCGGATTTAGAAGATGATTGAGCAGGATCCTGCCCCCGGGCCTTAGTTTGCCTACCCATGGTCTACCCTAATACACATTTTTCTATTGGTTTTTTGGTTGGAGAAGTGTGTTCCAATTCTGGTGGGAAATTTTGCTTATGCTCAGGGGGCAAGGCAGGGCAGCAATGAGGTTAAGGTGAACCAATGGGAGTGCCAGGCTGTCTCCACCGATGTGTCCGCATTGCCTGGACCATATTGCTGTGCTGCCCGCATCAACCCAGTATGTGGCACAGCCACTACTGCCAGGTGACAGGCTCCACAGTGCTACCCCACCAACATGGCCGCTCCTGCAATGCCATCATGTTTCACGCCAGTCTAGTGTCAACTGCTCGCAGCAAAGGGGTCAAGATCTGAAGAGAATTCTACCCTACCCAATGGATGTTAAGTCATGGACAGGCCAAATGTTAATGGCCAAGGGCAGAAAAATGAAGAGAGTGTCCTCTAACAAATTACCCGAAGAGAAAATAAATTGGGTCCAGGACAGGGATACATTCAACAATGTCCCTGATTAGGAAGTACTTTAACTGATAGGCCTGGGTATTTCTGCTGAGTTTTGCAATGCCACAGCAATGAAATAAATGGAATTACTTCTCCAGCTGTTCAAAGTCAAATTGCTAGAACCACTTTACATTCAGCGTCTTGCTGAAAATCATTTTCAGCTGGCAACAAACACTCTGAGTGGGCGAGGTAAGAGAAAATAAATTATTCACTTTTTTTGGACGGAATTAGGAAAACATGTAACTAAACTGCAACACAGCAGGCACACGGGCATGCTATGATTTGAGGAGAAAACAGTGAAGAAACATGTCGACATTTCTCACAACACTTAACAAGCCAAGGCACCCGATTTTGGCAATGACAAACTGGAGCACATCCAGTGGATGGACAGCATATTGAAGGTCTGGAAACTTAAGTCCTATGAGGAATAGGTGAAAGAGCTGGGTATGTTTTACCTGGAGAAGAGATGATTAAGGGAAGGCATGGCTGGATTGCCCCATAGAAGATGGGGCCCACTTGTTCTCTCTCTGTGAGATCTTGTGGGCTCTGTGAGATTCTGCAAGAATTCAATGAGTTCTTGTGAGATTTCAGCAAGATCTTGCCAGAAGCTACTGATACTTCATCAGGGGTTGAAGTGGTGGGATGAGTGAGGTGCCCACAAGGGTGCCACCTCTTGAGCTACCGCTGCCCAAGGTGGCTGTTTCACCCTGTCTCATGAGCAAGCGGACCCTGCTCTTGCTCCACAGAGGACCTATGGGTGGAAATGGGTGGAAGCTGTTTGACAGTGGAACATACTGCCCAAGAGCTGAGGATCTTTCATCCACTGGAGATACTTAAGCGGCTGATGGATGACTATCTGTTGGGGGGGGTGTAGTTTTATCTTGGGCTGTACATTCTTTATTGATAAGGGGCTTGGACTAGATGAACCATAGAATAATAGATTGGTACAGTTGGACGTTATACCTGGTCATCTAGTCCAACCCTCTGCAATGCAGGAATCTCCGTTAAAGCACCCATGACAGATGCTTAAATCTCTGCTTAAAAACCTCTAATGAGTCCACCACCTTCCAAAGGAGTTTGTTCCACTGTCAAACAGCTCTTACTGTCAGAAAGTTCTTCATGATGTTTAGTCAGAATCTCATTTCTTGTAACTGGAAGCCATTGGTTTAGGTCCTACCCAAGTTTGCTCCATCTTCCACGTGACAACCTGTTAGATATTTGAAGATTTCTATCACATCTCCCCTCAGTCTTCTCTTTTCTGGGACAAAGATATCCAACTCCCTCAACTCTAAGGCTTGGTTTCCAGACCCTTAATCATCTTGGTTGTCCTCCTTTGCACACATTCCAACTTGTCAATATCCTCCTTTAACTGTGGTGGCTAGAACTGGACACACTACTCCAGGTGTGCTCTGACTAAGGCAGAATAGAGTAGTACTATTACTTCCCTTGAACTGTTGATGCAACCTAGAATAAAATTCACCTTTTTTTTTTTTTTTTTTTTTTGCTGCTGCATCACACTGTTGACTCATGTTGAGCTTGTGGTCTACTAAGACCTTGAGATCCTTTTCACATGTACTTCTTGCAAGCAAGGGTTTGTATGGAACTGGTTCTTCCTGCCTCTATTGAAATTCATTTTGTAGTTTCGACCCAGTTCTCCATTCTGTTAAGGCCATACTGGATACCAGGGCCTTGGACAAAACCCTGTGGCACCCCACTTCTCACTCCCCCCCCCAGGATGGCGTGAACAACCAGCTACAAATCCACTTAACTGCTTTGTATGGAGAAGAACTAGGTTTAATCCCCAGCATCTCCAGGTAGGATTTGGAGAGACCCATGCTTGAAAGCCTGGAGAGTCACTGCCAATCCGTGTGGACTAGATGGACCAATGGTGTGGTTCAGTGTAAGGCAACTTCCTATGGCCGCGGAGGCAGGTGGGGGCAGTCATCTGCAGCTTTCCATTGACTCCAATGAAACTTTTGAAAATTTACGCCATCATTGCAGGTAGAACACAGGTCCTGCTGGACTCATTCTGGTTCCCAGTACATAAGCACCTACTTTTCTAATGGTGGAGTGATTATTGTATATTGATTCTGTGCAGAATTGCTTTGGGAATAACGTACTGAAAAGGGACATTTATGAGATGGTTTCAGATGATATAGTGAACCAAAGCAAGAAAGAGCTATATAGACTACATTCAGAAAACATTAACTTTGGTGAATCCAGTTCCTTTTCTCTGATCTTATTTTCTAAGCTTTCACTATCTAATGTAGGATGTTGAGGCAGCAAAAAACTGATTTCTTCCATTGGAAGCACCACCTGTTATGACAAAAGCCCTCAAATATCATTGATGACATTATACAAGTCTTGTTGACTTGAAGGAAACACTCGATGTGAATGAAACAACATTAAGGGAAATTGTGCTTTGAATGAGAATGTGCTTGCTATCAGACCATCAAAATAAAACTGCAGTTCTAGCAAGAACTCAGGCTGGTGGGTGGAAGGTTAAGAGATGTGCCCCTGAAACACATTGCATCCCAACAAATAAAGCTGAATGCCAATGAACAGTCCAGTGAAGGCAGACTCTGAGACTGGGTTAAGTTGTTCAATCTGCTTCTTTTTGCTGCTTCTTTTAATGCTACAGAAACACTAGTAACATGGTTCCATTTACTATGAAGGTACCATTGCTGCACAATGGAATTGTCATGGCGGCAGGAGAAGAGTTAGCCCCTCCTATGCAAAAACAATTTTTTAAAAAATTTGATGGGGGATGCATTCACACATATTCAATGTAGTACCTAGTTTTGCTGCATTTTTTTGTACAGTTACTTGAGAATAAGCTCTGTTTCTATTATTATTATTATTATTATTATTATTATTATTATTATTATTATTACATACCACCCTATACCCTGGGGTCTCAGGGCAGTTCACAGAATAAAATCAAAATATAAAACCACAAAATACATAATCAGAATAAAAAACAACCCAATAACCCCCCCATACCCCCCACATTTTAAAAGGGCATTGGATGTCAATCAAATCAACCAAAGGCCTTGTTAAAAAGGAATGTTTTTGCCTGGCGCCTAGAGGTGTATAATGAAGGCGCCAGGTGAACTTCCCTGGGGAGAGCATTCCACAGACGGGGAGTCACTGCAGAGAAGGCCTGTTCTTCTGTTGCCACCCTCCGGACCTCTTGAGGAGGACGCACATGAAGAAGGGCCTCAGAAGATGATCTCAGGGTATTGGTAGGTTCATATGAAAAGAGGCGGTCCTTGAGGTATTGCAGTCCTGAGCTGTTTAAGTCTTTATAGGTCAAAACTAGCACTTTGAATTGGGCCTGGAAACTAATCTGCAGCCAGTGCAGTTGGACCAGGATCGGTGTAATATGCTCAAACCGTCTTGCTCCGGTGAGGAACCTGGCCTCTGAATTCTGCACCAGCTGAAGTTTCTGAACTGTCTTCAGAGGCAGCCCTACATATAATGCATTGCAGTAATTTAACCTTGAGGTTACCAAAGCATAGACAACAGGAGTTAGGCTATCCCTGTCCAGATAGGGGCGTAGCTGGGCCACCAGCCAATGCTGATGGAAGGCACTCCAGGCCACTGAGGCCACCTGAGCCTCAAGTAACAGCAAAGGATCCAGGAGTGCCCCCAAGCTACGAACCTGCTCCTTCAGAGAAAGTGTAACCCCATCAAAAACAGGCAATCTCCCACCCATCCGGTCTAGGAAACCACCCACTAACCCGCCCTCAGTCTTATCTGGATTGAGTTTCAGTTTGTTGGCTCTCATCCAGTCAATTACTGAGGCAAGACACTGGTCCAGCACTTCCACTGCCTCACCTGCAGATGTAAAGGAGAAATAGAGCTGAGTGTCATCAGCATAACACTGACAACATACTCAAACCTCCGGATAACCCCACCCAGCAGTTTCATGTAGATGTTAAACAACATGGGGGGTAGAATTGAGCCCTGTGGAACCCCACATTGAAGGTTCCATGGGGCTGAAAAGCAAGTAACACCCTCTGGATGTGGCCATCCAAGTAGGACTGGAACCACTGCAAAGCGGTGCCACCCACTCCTAGTTCGGAGAGTTGCTCTAGAAGGATACCATGGTCGATGGTATTGAAAGCCACTGAGAAGTGTTTGGATTTGGATTTGATATCCCGCTTTATCACTACCCGAAGGAGTCTCAAAGAAGCTATCATTCTCCTTTCCATCCCTCCTACACAACAAACACTCTGTGAGGTGAGTGGGGCTGGGAGACTTCAAAGAAGCGTGACTAGCCCAAGGTCACCCAGCAGCTGCATGTGGAGGAGCGGAGACGCGAACCCAGTTCACCAGATTACGAGACTACCGCTCTTAACCACTACACCACACTGGAGAAGTCGAGAAGAATTAACAGGGACATGTTTCCCTTGCCTCTCTCTTGACAGAGGTCATCATACATAGTAGAACTTCCTTCTGAAAAAGCATGCACAGGTTTGCAGTGCACATCCCATGGAAAGCAACAAGGCTTTACCGTAAAGTATGTTTACTACTGGAATGTGTTTGTGTGGCAAATCAAAGAGGGGCAGGGAATTACAACAGCGCTTAGCAGGCTTCTTCCTTGGCAGTCTTTTCCAGGGATGCCAATGAGTCAGCAGGCACAGAGACTGAAGTATCCCCCTTAGGCCCGAGGCAATTCTCTAAGGTCAGAGCTGAACTACATGGCAGATCACTGTAAGCAAAACTGCACCTGTCTCTGTGGTTAAGCTGTGCTAACTTCAGTCTCCAGGGCGGATGAGCCTGTGCCTTTAATGAGCACAAACCTTTTGCTATGTGCCACGAAACAAAATGCTCTCATGCATTTATTTAACAGTTATTCTGACATTGTGTAATTGGAAGCATATTGAAATAACCTGGTGAGGAATATTAAGAAGCCAAGGAACAGGAAGGAAGCGCGTCGAGAGTGCACGCCATCTGGACATAAAGCCATTTGGCACGACGGCGTGGCTTCGTCTTGATGAAATTTTCCTATGTTACTGAATATTTATCTGAGTATAGATGGTGCAATGATTGAGGGCAGGGGGAGGCGTGTACGTAGTAAGAAATAGATCCCACTCTTTCCTGAAGGGGACAACATGTTTTGCAATGTGCACCTGATATTATTGCAAATTGAATTAAACATTGGTGGGGAAACATTTCCCTGCTTTAACCATTTTCGTATGTGTAGCCTTGCTGGCTGGGGATGATGGGAATTATAATCCCAAACACCAAGACGACACCAGGCTTGATCTCAGCTTACTCCATTTCCTGAACTGAGACATTTAGTCTTCAACTGTTCATTGCCTTTTGCTAGCTAATTACGCATAAATGACAGCCTTGAGATAACTACCACCCCCAGATTCACCGCCAAACTCCTCGTTAAATGAGAATCTGTTTACAGATCATCCGCTGATGTTTTCAGTGCAAAAAAGAGAGGAAAAAAAGCTTTCTCCCTAAGGCCTTGTGAAGTGTAGTTCCTTAAGTGAGCTAGGAATATCCAGTTAATGATTCTTAACATGGTCTATATGGTGCCTCTGGCACCAAATCATGACAGTTAAACTGGTATAAAACTGATGTAAGTACCTTAGAAGTTCTCAGGGGTCTTTAAAAATAAAATAAAATTAAGAAACATTATTCAACTTGCTTGTTTCCAGTCTGCACTGATGCTTTTTCTTTTCCTGTTCCTCAAGGGCAGGATTGCCACTGCAGCAAATCAATGCTGTTGTGTTACGTTGCAAACCTCCCTGTGATCTTTGGATGAAGGACAGTATGTAAATTTAATAAATAATAATAATAACGCCTGGATTCTAGCATTGGGTACTCTACGTTATGGGTGGACTCCTGATAGGCACTTAATGGAGCCTGTGGCTGGTCTGAATAGAGTTTAAAAAGCAGAGTTAACCAAAAATGCTTTGGTGCCTGAATCTTACTTCATCACTGGCAACAAGACAATATCCTGAGCAGGCATTAAGGGACACATAGCTCTGCCTTCCAACCCATACTAACTCTTTATCCACTAACAAAACCATAATATTTAAGTTTTTTATGTGTTGTGTTTTTCTGCAAAGAGCTGAACATGAATGTACAAAGAATGTTAGACTGAGATTATTCTGTATATTTACAACAGATATTCGCTGGGCATTAATGGAACTTTAATGAAAAGTGAATGGCAAACAAAAGTTACCTTGTGCTATGTAAGGAGTGCTCTCCTCTTTTGTAGGTGCAAACAAAGGACGAGGTGCAGGCGCTGGTGGCCGGTTCATAATAAAGGACCTGCCACCTTTTCTTCGCTCTTTGTTGTCGTTGTCAAAAATGATATCGTACACACCATCATCCACAAGAGCAGAGCTGTATGGATCTTCCTCTTCTGATTTCTCAGATTCACCTTCTTCTTTCTCCTCCTCGTGTATCTCATCGGTTTTCTTTTGTTCTTTCTCTGCTTCCCATTCTACAAAACATGCACAACAGCAACATCATTATCCAGGCTCCTGGGTTTCCAGGGTGAATGAAAACACCACCATATGCCTGTTAAAATAAGCCTTAGTAAAAATCTTCGCACGTTGCATACAAGGACCACGTATACCTCTATAAATTGGACAGCTCAAAATCACATTTATTCCCTTAAGACCACAGTTGCCTGCCATTTCTATTAGAGGCAAAATGGCCTTTTAAAAACAATACAAATTCATCGGGATGAACTCTTGTAAACTGCTATATAAATGCTAAAAAAAGTATTATGGGCTCCTTATAATTGTGTAATCTGGAGAGGTGTGTGTCTCGCTTTAAGCTCAAAAGAGTAGTGAGGATGTTAGACAGTGCGAAAAACACAGTCATTGCTGGGTACTTTAAGGACTTTTGGGAAACACAAATTTGCCTAAAAATTGCGTATGCTGTACTAATTTGTATGAACAGGGGCTTCTGGTTGAATTAAGATTCTGGGAGACTGAGTCTCACCAGGGCAGATATTTTGCACTGTTGACATAGAAATACTGCAAAAAACCATTCTCAGTAAGCCCAGATTCCTGCATTACAGGTGTTCGGACTAGATGACCCTCGCAGTCCCTTCCAACTCTACAGTTCTATGATTCTATGTACACGTGTTTGTGTGAAAGAAGCTCAAGGTGCCCATTCATACAATTCAGCTACTGCATACACAGCGACACGGACAGTAAACCCATTGAATGCAGAAAAGACCTACAATCAGAGATTTTTCCTCGATGACTGTTAACGAAAGGCAAATTAAAACAAGTGTGGCATCCTGTGTTTCATATGAAGAAGAGACCCTTCCCAACTTGCCATTATTATTATTATTATTATTATTATTATTATTATTCCACTATTCTGACCTCCCGGCTTCCACAGGGGGCACTCATGCCACTGGCAAACAAACCTTTCCTGGGAAGGATGGCAGCGGTGGGTTGACTCCAGGTTGCTCTGCAGCTATTCTCTTGCAGTACCTGCAGCAAATGACTCTCTAAAGAATGTGGATGGATGACTCATTACAGTTTCTCTTTGAAAAAGAAACGATCGCACCCCTCCCAAAGATGAAACCAACCTAATGCTTCACAGAAACACAGCGCAATTAAACTGAAAGATTCATACAGAAAGCGCTTCAGAGGGATTCGGCTTCACCCCCAGGATATTAACTGGCACTGCCTGGAGTTAGTGCGCACGTCTGCCTGCTTAGAGACACGTCCGTGATGCAATAGAATTATTCATGTGTGGCGTCGCCATGTGCCAGTTTGGCGGGCCGGCGAGCCATTCCAAACCCTTTCCAATAAATCCTTTGATCCCTTCTCCCCTCCTCTGTCGGCTGCTCTTGTGGGAACAGTGGCACTTCAAGGGCACAAGCCACGCAAAAGGTGATTTGGCAAGAGAGCAATATCTTTATCATGGGCGGCAGCACCCACCATATTTTATGGCAGTTAAAAAGACTCCAGACTATTTTGTCGCAACACTTTGTGCATTTCTATGCTCCATTGTTATATTGGTTTATGTGAACCAGTTATACCTGTATCTAGATCTAGATCTAGATCCAATATTGATAGGGCTGGTTCAGGTGAGATTTTCTACAATAGCAGGGGTCAGCAAACTTTTTCAGCAGGGGCCCGGTCCACTGTCCCTCAGACCTTGTGGGGGGCTGGACTATATTTTGAGGGGGGAAATGAACGAATTCCTATGCCCCACAAATAACCCAGAGATGAGTTTTTAATAAAAGCACACATTCTGCTCCTGCAAAAACACCAGGCAGGCCCCACAAATAACCCAGAGATGCATTTTAAATAAAAGGGCACATTCTATTCATGTAAAAACACGCTGATTCCTGGACCGTCCGCTGGCTGGATTTTGAAGGTGATTGGGCTGGATCCGGCCGCCCGGGCCTTAGTTTGCCTACCCATGTACAATAGCATTCAGAAACTTGGAGGCCACCATATATTGCAGAATTACAACACATGTTGCCCCTGACCATTGGCTATGGTGGATGGAGCTGCTAGGGGATAAAGTCGAACAAGATCTGGCTCCCCGTTCCTGTTCTAAAATTACTCTGCTTTACACTGGGTGACCCCATTGACAGCATTGTGTAGATAGCCCAGTCAACGCTGGCACAGTGACAAGGTTGGTGCCAGGCAGACCTCCCAATGGAGAGAATTTAATAAACAAGGAGCTACTACAGAGGAGGCCCCTGTGGGAGGGCATTAAATGTTTCACATGTGCAGACCTCACTTTTCACCATGTGTCTTGTTATGTACTGAGTTGAATAGGATCCAAAATGCAGCAGTCTGATTGGTTCTAGAACAATAGGATTCAGAATGCAATAGTCTGATTGGTCCTAGAGCAATAGGATATAGAATGCAGCAGTCTGATTGGTCCTAGAACAATAGGTTCCAGAATGCAGCAGTCTGATTGGTTCACAAGAGCCACCCAATCCAGCTCCAGGTGGAAGTGAATCCGCAACCTGATTGGCCTATAGGAGAATCCCGGAATTAGCCAATCATGTGGGGCCCATTGTGTAAATAATGTATATAAAGCAGACATTCTGGGGGAACTTCCATTCCTCCTCACCACTATGAGCTGAATAAAGAGCATGAAATCCACTCTCGACTCCAAGTATATTTCATGTCTCAATGCAGAAAAAATAAAATGTACAACATGCAAAATTTAAAATGAGTTTTAAACATCAGAGAGCAGAACACTGGTACAGCATTCACAGTGCAAAGGCTTCCTGAAATGAAACCACTTTAACCCGATGTCTGACCCTTAGCAGGAATGGTTTCTGCCTGGTTTCTAATGGGAGAGAATTCCATAGAGTTGTGCTCCGGTCAATGCAGGAATGCTACTGGTGCCCCCCAGGCAAACTCAGTGATCAACTTGGGGCGTACTGGTGAAGGCAATCCTGGGCCAAAGTTGCTTTATACACTAGTGCAAGAACCTTGAACATGGCCCCAAAGCAGTTGGGAAGTTACTGCAGGCTTTTAATGCTGGTGCCATGTGCTCATGGTAGTCTGTTTCCATCCCCAGCAACAGGCAGCATAAAATGGCAGCACAGAAATATCTAGATTAATTAAATAAATACTGCAAATATTGAGGATTTGTTTGCTTTCATGACTCCATACCTGGGGTCCAGTTGAAAACCTCATCCTGTCTTGCGGTGGTAACTGGGATTCGAGGTGGCAAAGGTGGCCTCTCAGGGTAGACTACATTTCTGCTTCTTCCTTTAGGAGCCTCCTCCTCCTCCTCACTTGAGCATTGTGGATTTCCCCCTAATTTATTTTCTTCTCCTCCTCCTGTTTTAGCCTCTCTTTCCTGTTCTTCTCCATCACCAACCATTCTTGAATCCTTCTGGATTTTCCAGCAGGCTCCAGGCTGTTCTCTTGGGTTTGGCCTGGCAGGTAATGCTGAGGAGGACATATTATCATTATTTCATTTTAAAATACAGTATGCCATCTGGAAACATTTCATATTTCACAGATTTCCACTGAAGCAACGGCAGCACTGCTTATAAAACTTTCATGAACTAATACAGTGGAAAAGCTGACACATGTATAACTCCAGTGAAAAAGCACCTAAAATATTTATTAAATGAATGGTGGAGGTTTTCATTAGATTTTGTAACTTTGTAACATATTCATGCGTGTGATAATGCTAGGCTTTCTCCAAATGGTGGTGGAAACCCAGAACTGTGTCTGCTCCCCTTCATGCGCCCCCCCCACTCCGAGCTCAAATTGCTCGATTATGAATGCAGCACAGCACATAGGAGTGAGTCGAGCAGGCTATAACTTATGCAGCTGTATGGGGTTATATATTTTTAATAGACTGTGACTCGCCAGCTTATCATTTGGCATTCTTTAACATGGAATAAATGTTGCCCTTAGGAGAAGAAATGTTAGAATTGCTGCAAAGATGGTCCTTTAATGGGTTTGTGAGGCCCTGGTGTCTCAGTGAGCACACATATAAAGGATGAAGCCATCCAGGGTAGCGGGGAAGGCAAATGGCTTCCACATAGTTGGTTTTTTTAGAGACAGTCTCTATTTTGGATGAAATGATGCCCCTCGTGCATTCCATTTGCTTGCAGCTGCAGTTAACAATGCCTTTGCCCATTGATAGCTGAACTGCCGACATCTGAGGCTGGGATATGACCCAGCTACTTGGCACTGGCTTCATTTGAGAGGTCTGGCCGACTACCAACAGTGGCAAAACTAAGGGTCATTATAAAGATATAATAAAGTGGCTCCCCACCACCCATGAACCACTTGAAAATGGCTATGGGTCTTGGTAGACCTCTTAGTGATTTCACTGCCTGTTTGTAGCATAGATGCTGTATACTTTTTAACTGCATTTTATTGCTGGGAGAGATCATCAGGGGGTTTGGGCTGGGCGTTCATCAATATGCGGATGATACCCAGCTCTACCTCTCTTTTAAATCAGAACCAGTCTTGTGTGAGTGTCTGGAGGTGGTTGGAGGATGGATGGCAGCTAACAGATTGAGGTTGAATCCTGACAAGACAGAAGTACTGTTCTTTGGGGACAGCGGGCAGGCTGGTGTGGAGGACTCCCTGGTCCTGAATAGGGTAACTGTGCCCCTGAAGGACAAGGGGAACAGCCTAGGAATCATTTTGGATTCACAGCTGTCCAATTCTGTGTCCAGGGCAGCTGTCTACCAGCTCCATCTGGTAAGCAGGCTGAGACCCTACCTGCCCGCGGACTGTCTCACCAGAGTGGTGCATGCTCTAGTTATCTCCCGCTTGGACTATTGCAATGCATTCTACATGGGGCTACCTTTGAAGGTGACTCAGCAATTAATCCAGAATGCGGCAGCTAGACTGGTGACTGGGAGTGGCTGCCGAGACCATATAACACTGAGAGATCTGCATTGGTTTCCAGTATGTTTCCAAGCACAATTCAAAGTGTCAGTGCTGACCTTTAAAACCCTAAATGGCCTCGGTCCTGTATACCTGAAGAAGTGTCTCCACCTCCATCGTTCAGCCCAGACGCTGAGGTCCAGCACTGAGGGCCTTCTGGCGGTTCCCTCACTGTGTGTGAGAAGTGAGGTTGCAGGGAACCAGGCAGAGGGCCTTCTTGGTAGTGGCACCTGCCCTGGGGAACACTCTCCCATGAGATGTTAAGGCAATAAGTAACTATCTTACTTTCAGAAGAATTCTGAAGGGACATCTGTTTAGGGAAGTTTTTCATGTTTAATGCTGTATTGCATTTTAATATTCGGCTGGGAGCCACCCAGAGTGGCCAGGGAAACCCAGCCAGATGGGTGGGGTATAAATAATATATATTATTATTATTATTATTATTATTATTATTATTATTATTATTCTTTTTACTTCTTATATTCTGTCTTACAGTATCACAAATCGAATTCCATCGAATTCAGATGGTAGGGGTTCTTCACAGACCACCCGAAGTGGATGACCCTTTGGGAACTCCTGAGGAGCTGGTTAGGACTGGCTGCCAGGGACATGGACTTCCTGACAGCTGTTTTGACAATGCAGTGCAGTGAGGAACCTAGGTTAGTCCAAAGGAGGGACTGGTACCAGCCTCCTTTTGCTACATAGCCAAAGGTGCTCCTTTCTAGACTCAGATAAGGAGCGATGGTCTTCAAGACGGCCACTGGAGTACCTGTGGAGTCCTGGTGCTTGTGTGCAGTTTAGGGCAAGGGATGCTAGTGGTAAAACACCAGGAACACCAGAGGATGGAGTGTGCTCAAGGGGAGAAGAAAATGGTTAATGGCAAAAAGCTAATGTGCTTTAAATTAACTAAGGTAGAAGCTGCTCACAAAACTGTAGCTCTTCCCTGTGGAGGTACGCATTAGGACATATAAATTTATATTGTCACTGTGGAGAAGAAGCAGTGTTGGAGATCTCTATACCAGAAACGTACAAAGTCCATTGCAGAGAGATTCTGAGCTCATCATCACCACGTAAGTATCATCTACTGTCTCGACTTCTTCCTCCTCCTGATTGTTGCTTTCCTTGCTGTCTTCTTTTATCTGGGAGGGAAAAGACCAAAGAGTGCTCAGTAGCAGGAGTGTCCATCAGGGTTTCAGTGCAGGCCAGAGAGCACAGTTCTGGAGCCAGCCATGCAGATATCCCATCTGGTCCCCTACTTTCTGCAGAACTGGTTTCCCTCTGAATGAGCTTTTCCTTAGCAACATCTGCTTCAACACAATCCAGTTCTGTAAAAAGCGTAACAGGAGACAAAGGAACACAGGGAGAAAACATAAAAGGTTGACCCCCTAATTGCAATAAGTTAAAGCTGACAACTTGTTGGCATGTTTGCACAGGAATTAATCAGCTCTTTTTGTGTGTGTGTTGGTTTGTTTTGCAAGCAACACTAAGCATAGACCACAGCAAAAATCCAAAGAGCTATTTTAGGAGTGCCCAAGCATACCTGGTGCAGCAGAACTTCTATTTGATAAACATAAGACCTAAGGTCCCTTTGGCTAGAGGAACTAATCTGGGAATAGGGAAGCTCAGGCATGTGGGTCAGTGTGGCTCTCCAGTCCTTTGTAACTGGTCCTTAGGACTCTCCCCAAGCCACAAACCCTTCTGCCCTTTGCTTTGTATCCCCTTGGGATGTTTTTTTGCCTGGCCAGAACATATCTATGAAATCTACCGTATTTTTTGCACCATAACACTCACTTTTTTCCTCCTAGAAAGTAAGGGGAAATGTCTGTGCGTGTTATGGAGGAAATGCCTACGGGTGGCATGCCTACGGATTTTCCTCCTCTAAAAACTATGTGCGTGTTATGGTCGGGTGCGTGTTATAGAGCGAAAAATACGGTAATTCTAAATTCCCAGTACCAATATACTAGAAGCTAACATATTGCTGAGGTTGGCCCTCACTTTACTCTGTTCTTTGACTCTCAGTCAAGGTACTTGATTTGATTGTCTTTGCCCTGTATCAGCATCCCTCTATTGTCAGAATCAATGTTGGCCCTGGGCCATTTGACATCACTCCCTTTCTGATTTTGGGGCCAGCGCTCATGTGATACAGAAGCTCTGGATAGAAGATTTCTGACTGGATCTCATGATTTTTATTTTAGTGCCTTTCCCATTCACCACACCCCTTACAAATGGAAAAAAAATGGCACCATATATATTTCCCAGGAGAGTGACTTTGGCCACTACCAAAAAGCTTTTATTGATGAGCCAAAGAGCAGAACCCCAGTAGCTGGTTGTATAGCATGTGCAATCTCATATGGATGCAAGATTCTTGATACTCAAAAGGTGTACACATTCTGAACAAAAAATAAAGTCTGCTTTCAGCAGCTGAATGTTTTGACTGATACACTACACTTGTATACACATTTGTTTGTTTTGCATATTTTATTCTGTCTCTGCTAGTTGTGGGAGAGGAGAAGCAGTTATGCAGGCACAAAAGCAACCCCCTGCCCCCCCAAGGCAATCCCAATAAACCCCCTTTTTGGTTTTGTACATTTCACCTGTTTTTACAGCCATGAGGTCTAGAAACATGTCTCTGTTTCTATGAAATCACCCTGCTGAAACACTACCCAATGGGGAAGAACCATGATGGACAGGTAGGTAGCAAATTACTTTTTGTACTCACTTTGAATATTCTATCTGTTGGGGGTGCTAGTCCACTTGCCAGTGCACTGGCAAATTGCATTAGGTTGTATTCTACTTACAGCAGACCTACTGAAAATAATGACTAACTTAGGTTTAAAAATTTCAATGGGTCCACACTCAGTATAACCTACTTGTGTACAACTCAATGCCTTTTTGTTTTGTTGTTCTCTGTTCGACTCTGTGAGGGCTTACATTATATTTTATTTTTTCATTTTAACAAGGTAGTGCATCGTGTACTGCCTGGCATTTGCTTTTGAAAAAAGAGAAGACATTTTCAAGGCTGGAATTTAAGGAGCATATGTTGGAACTCCCTCCCTTATGGAAATTTGCCAAAAGCCTGAACATCTTTTAGACATGTTGTAAGATCTTTCTATTCAGGCTGGCCTTGGCTGTCAGGCTTTGATACCTGCTCAGCTTTTGAGCTGCTCCCCAGGATCATTTATATGAGCACAATTCTTTCCCAGGAGAGCAAAGGGATATCCACAGGATAACAATTCCCCTGTTTTTCTCACTCAGTACTACATCAGGCCATTATGGGAGTCAGAAAGCTGTGTGTGAGACTGCCAGGAGTCCCTCAGAAGTGGTTTGCTGTGTTGAGCAGAGCTGCTGCACTAGCTTCCTGTCAGGTGGGTTGATGAGAGAAGGCAGGATGAGGTGGGGTGGTTGATGCAGTGCAGTCACACTGGTGGAGCTGATCCAGCCCTCCTGCCAATGCATTTGCTGTGTGCCAGACTCCCCACTGCCACGTCTCTCACCCAGCGTGGTGCATGTTCTAGTTATCTCCCGCTTGGACTACTGCAATGCGCTCTACATGGGGCTACCTTTGAAGGTGACCCCGAAACTATAATTAATCCAGAATGCAGCAGCTAGACTGGTGACTGGGAGTGGCCGCCGAGACTGTATAACACCAGTCCTGAAAGACCTACATTGGCTTCCAGTATGTTTCCAAGCACAATTCAAAGTGTTGGTGTTGTCCTTTAAAGCCCTAAACAGCCTTGGCCCAATATACCCGAAGGAGTGTCTCTACCCCCATCGTTCAGTCCGGATACTGAGGTCCAGCTCCGAGGGCCTTCTGGCAGTTCCCTCCCTGCGAGGAGTGAGGTTACAGGGAACCAGGCAGAGGGCCTTCCTGGTAGTGGCACCCACCCTGTGGAACGCCCTCCCATCAGATGTCAAGGAAATAAACAACTACCTGACTTTTAGAAGACATTTGAAGGCAGCCCTGTTCAGGGAAGTTTTTAATGTTTGATGTTTTATTGTGTTGTTAATTTTGTTGGGAGCTGCCTAGAGTGGCTAGGGAAACCCAGCCAGATGGGCAGGGTATGCATCTATGTATGTATGTATGTATGTATGTATGAATAAATAAATAAATAAATATCACCACCCTCCCAGTAAGCAACAATGTCCCATCTGCTTCACCCCACCCAGTGATCTGGTCTCCCCTCCTTCGGGGGATGAGCATGGGAATTCTTAGTGAGAATTGCCCTCAGGGCTAGAAAGCAAGTAGCACAAGAGAGGCCCATTGTTACAGTACCTCACTTGTATCTGACTCTGAGGATTCCAGTTCAGATGTCCTAGCACAGAGGTCAGGCTCAAGTGGCCCTCCAGGGCTCTCTATCTGGCCCTCAAGTCTCTTCCACTCACTAATCCCACTTTTCACCCTCCTTGGGCATTTTTGCCTGACTGGCACATATCACTGAGCTCTGATAACACCTCTAGTTTGATTGGATGAAGGCTAGAGAGAGGTGTGTGCATTTGTTGCTCCACCCACTTTCATCTGTGCCCACCATTAGCATTTGGGCTAGAAATGAATGAGGCCATTGGGCTGTAAGAAACTTCCTATTCCTAACCTAGCTTTCCCCCTGCTCCATCGGAGTCAACGGCTGTTCCTATTTTAGGCTCAGTCTGCTGCTGAAGCAACATCTGAGCTCTGCTCTCTTGATATCTCCAGCTTGAGCCCTGCATGGAACTGTCCATTTCCCATCCTCTCTGCTGAGGTCAGTGCTCACGACAGAGAGCAGTGCCTCCGTATCCCTATCCATCTCAACTCATGCTTCTTGAGCAATCGGAGAGGATTCTAAAATGTATTGGGAACCTTCATGAGTGCAAGAGGCTCTCCAGCTCATGGAGGGTGATGAGAAAGATGACAAGGGCGGTGAAGCTAGCACACCTGTCCCCACAGTCCCATCTTGTGATTAGATTACATGCAGTGTTGTTGTTTTTTGTCAGTATGCATTGGCATGGTGTACTGCCACCTCTGTTCTCCCTGCCACCACCTCACCGCCACCACCTGCCTGCTACCCCCCCATTTGCTTCTTCCTCCTCCTCCATCGCTGCTGCTTCCCACGACTGCAGGCACGGCCTCCCAAGCTGCTTTGGCACGACCCCCCAAACAATGTCAAAGCATCATTCATCAGCCACCTTCCCAGAAGACGTTTTGGTGATTGTAAAGGTCGCACCAAAGCGCCTCTGCTCTGGCACATCAGGCGGTGGTAATGATGAAGAATCCCACCTCAGCTGTTTGGCTTTTTCCCCTAAGAGAGAAAAGACACATATCTCTATAAGAAGTATCTTTTGGGAGGAAAATAGGGTTGGTAGAGTGGAACTATGGCTGGGAAAGAAAGACTTAAACAGCCTCCCTTCTCTGCCCGAGGAGGTGGCATCAAGATCCACATATTCATATGCATAACGCTCAAGAATTCAACATTTCAATCTATTTCAAGGCCCAGTTAACATCAGAACATAGATTCTGGGGCTCAAGTCAATGGCTTATCTAGCACAGCATCCTGTTCTCACAGTGACCAACAGACAGGAAACAAGCACAACGGCACTCTCCTCACTTGTCATTCTTAGCTATTGGCATTCAGAGGCATACTGCCTTCAACAGTGGAGGTCGATCATAGCCATTGTGGCTAGTAGTCACTGTCTGTACAAACGCCACTGCTCTACATTTTATATCAACTTTAATTTTATTTTTGGCATTTTAAAGTTGTAAACCACCTTGGGTGCCTTGCGATATGTAAACGCAATGTAATCCATTAACCATTTTAAGATGTCCATTAAGAGTCCCAGCTTTCTCTATCATATACTAGTCTCCATGACAGATAACCCTATCCATCCTAGCTGGAATAACTAGAAGACAGGATCACACTGTTAGTCTGAAAAATGCAGTATCAGTATTATTATTTTTGACAAATGCCCAAACCAGATAGCACTCCAGCGGTGTTTGTATTGCAAAGTGCTGCAATATACAGCTCATAAATATGAATGGTCTCTAAAAACTTGCCAGGTATGGCAAGCTTCTTCTTCCTCAACCAAACAAGCAAAACATTTCCCATGTCTGTTGATTAATTTGTTTCTTGTGCTATATTGACCTTTAAAATAAAGTGAACAACAACAA